CCTGACAAAAGCATATAATCTGGCTGTTTTTAAGATTAAGTTTGCAGTACAATATTTAAAGAAAATACTCAAAGGAATTTTACATTTACAAATCTTCTAATTCTTCAGTTTCAAATTCATACTTTGAATGAGCGCCATAAGGAAATCATACAAAGATGTAATATAATTTAGACCTATACTAGGCAAGTCTAGTTTATGTGTTAATGGTGTTCCTTTATCAAAACTAACATTTACAATTAACAAGTATGCAACACGGACAAGCCTGCAGCAGATGACTGTATTACTTTGTATATCAAATCTATAGCAAAATTCCTATAATTAAAAGTGTACATCTACAAGGATTTTTAAAATTTGGGCGAACCCTGGGTTAGTAAACACTTTCTGGTTGTGATGATAAAAAGTGACCTCATGCTTTTCTAAAAATGTCACAGCTATGACATTTAAACACCAAGCATGAGTTTTAAGGGCTTTTGGCAAACGATCGTCTCGAAGCTACGTGCTCTCCAATTCCCAAACCACCAATAAATAGCGATCGTTGGAGCTGATTTATGTCACCCCAAATGCACATTGGTGATGTCATTGCATCACGGAGGTATATTTTGGCAATCACAAATAGGTCTGCTTCAAATTCGGGGGGGGGGGGATTTTTTTATTATTATTATTATTAAATTTTTTATCTGTTTTAAAATTTTTTTAAATTACTTTTTTACAATATGCCAATGCCAATACTATAAAAAACCCCCACAAACCAACCCCAAAAAGCACCACCACTAAATCTAAAAGGACTACTCCAATCTACATCACCACAATATACACAATGACCTGTTATATAAAGTGAGAGGCAGTGATTTGCTACACCTTTGGAAGTTGGGACCTAAAAATAATGAACAGATGTGCATTAAACATGTTGCGTATTCAGCAATTCTTCCTCTGCTTCAGGTCTGATAGCCAAGAATTAACTAGATTAAGTTTAAATGAATTTTCTTCATGGCCATTAATTTAAATGAACTTTTTTCATGCCCATGAATTCGCATTCACCATCATCACCACATACGCAGCACCTCATCTGAAAACAGCAGCAGGGTTATTTAGGAAGAAATTAAGACACTTCACAAGAACCAAATGGGAAAAGCTTAAAAAAAAAACATTGGAAGAAATGCCTTTTGGCCCACCGCGACCTACACTACATCATCATTTTAAGCAACGAGACGGACTTCTAACAATTCTTAACCTAATTTATGGAAGGGGAATTAAATAAGAGACTCTATGAGGTTTAGTAATCTAGTTCTCAAGAGGAGGAAAAGTCTCTGACCTCATTAATAAAGGTCAAATTTCAGTTTGTAGGGGATCATCAGAACATAAAAGAAGCTAAAAGCGAAAGAGAGAAGACCGAGGAAAACGGAGTCAGAGTGAAACTGATACACAGCAGCACTGCTATGAGCATAAAACAAGCTGTATCAAATAACTTACTCACAACTTGGTTCAGAAATAATATGCTACAAATCCTGTCAGCAAGCAAGATAAGCCAAATCCCACTGTGTTTTCCCAAAATAATTCACTGTATGTTTAACTAAATTTGGATATCAAAGGTCTGATTTACATCTTTCAAATGCTTGCTTGAAAAACAGTGGAAGAACAACAGCCGGGTGCTTATTTTTTTTACCCAGCTTCATCTTTTGATCTTCTCCTTACTGCCGACAACAAATAAACACACATATTGGGATATGAAAATTGTGTCCATTCCCATTGTTACAGGTTCTCCTGGGGTTTGGACTTTGTTAGGATCTAGATCTTCTTCCCACCTATCGCCAAACCAGCTAGTCCACCAGCGATTAAATAGGCCTAACTAGCTATAAACAGCCTCCTTGCCAAATACCGTCTGTACCGATGAATATTATATCCACCACCGGTTTGGTTGAGCATCAGTTTTGGTGAGCGCGGTTGTCCCAGGTGGCTGGGGCAATGCTGCTTTGCCCCAGCAAAAGGACTTCATCGGATGCAGAGATGGCTGCACATGTTTCCACAGGACACAGAGCGGAGAGCAAACCCGAAGTTCATGTGTGTGCCATACATCCATCCATAAGTATATGTTGTCTTCTGCAACCTCCAGCCTTCATGTCAAAACCCTGAGCTACCACAACCAGGCAAATACTTTCATATTCATTTTTCTCATCAACTTCAAATGCAGTTCTCTTCCCATATATGCTCTGAATTCAGATGGTTTTGAGTCTTATTTTACCTCTGCATAACATGACTGTCATATAAAAAAGCCCTCTGCCAAAAACCCATCATCTGACAACCTTCTGAACCTTCATAACCTGTGGGATTATTTCAAAATGTATCTTAAAAGTCAGAGAAATATTGGTGGCAAGTGTGGACTGGGATTAAGTCAGGACATTTGCTCCAGGGGGAGTCGCATATTGCTCACCCACTGCAAACTCAGGAGTCAGCAACCTTTTGCAGTGAGGTGCAAGACTGTATTTTTCTTTCATAAATCAGAGACTCAGTGTGTTTAGGAGATTTTTTGAGGGAGCTGATAGATACCAGCAAGTTGATGTCATCCAAGTGCTGAGATCTTGCTTTGCAGCCAGGACCTATTCCCAGGGTCCACAGATGCCCCTGCTCCCAGCCCATCTTCCAGTTGGTGTTGCCCAACCTCAAGACCACATATGGGAGGTTAAGAAGAACCTATATCCTCATCTGGGGTTTCTCCAGGCATGAACTGAAAAGGATTTCAAGAGGATTGTGAAGTGGTAGGAAAAACCAAATTAATCGGCATCAGCTCTGTTCCTCCAGGGCAGAGAAGGGTGGTAATTGCTGGTTGGTGTCTCAGCAGCAGCCGCAGAGCCCAGGATGCCCTCGGCCACTTGCTGGCAGTAACGTTATTCCTTGAGGGCAAAGGAGCAGCTATTCCCAGCCCTGCCCGGTCCAGGCAGGCACTTCTCCTCCCTCTCTGCTAGAAGGAACCAAGTCGGGGGCTAAAAAAAGGGGTGAGGAGGTGATGCTGTAGAACAATTTGAGAGAAAATTGGCTAGTCAATGTTTAACGAAGCAGCTCTGTGCAATGCACGTAAACTCTCTTCCTTAACCTCTCTACCTATAAAACAGGCAGGATTCATGCATTTTCATGATTTCTGGGGGACTTGTGAAAATCAATCAATGTTCACAGAGGACTCTGAAAATAAACCTAATTACACTCCTCTCTCTAGAAGTATATATTTCTTGGTATTTTGTGCACTACCTTCCTGTTTCAGAAAACCTGGCCCGCATACAGCCCAGGACTGCCTTCCTGGATCTCGCCACTGGTACGAGCCTGCACGTTCCTGCATGTTCCTGCAGCTCCAGGTCCTGGGCATTTGCCAGCATAGGCGGATCTCCTCTTGCGCAAGGGCAACACGGTGCAGCGCTTGCTGCTTGACCTGGATCTTATTGCTACACTGTGCGATTTTGGGGAGGGGGAGGAAAGGCTCAGAAAACTGGGAATTGGGAATTTGTGAGATGATATAGGGAGACGGGCAAGGGGAAGATGGTTACGCTGCACAGGAGTCTTGGCTGGAGGAAGCAGAGGGTTAACATGCAGCAGCGATGCTGGAAAACAGCATGAATTTGGGTTGCTCTGGCTCTTACCTGCTGAGATTTGAGGTTGGGAACCAAAGTTTAATGGCCCATAAACACCTATGGTTGTGCCCTGCTATTACAGACATGCTGACTAAGCAAGCAATAGTGTCCTAGTCTGATTTTGTATTTAAATATTATGGAACAGATATTTAGAAAAAAAAAAAAAATCACTGGATCATTAAAAAAAAAATTATTTAGTATTTGAGATGCATTTCCTTATCAAAACAAATCCACCTTCTTTGCTTCACCAAATACACAAGCAGTGGGTCTTTTTCCTGACAGCCCAGACAAAACTTTTGATGACTTGGAAAAAAAAATCAGGAGAGAACACAACATTTTTGGTGAAATATTAAACAGAGCGAGAGGAAGCATGTGCAGTCAGAAGACACGCTGGATGTGACCCACTTGAGCAACCTTTCTTGTCAGAAAAGCATATTACCAAGTTTTCTACGCATGTGTTTATTTCCAGTCTATAATTACACTCTGCAAGCATGTCTGTGGAGTTAAATAAAGGACTGGCTACACTGTAAGCCTCTGCAACTCTGGTCCTATGGCATAATTCAAAGGTAATGTTAGCACTTAGCAAAACAGCGGCTTCAGCTTAGATATACATCCCCCCCCCGCAAAAAACACACGCTGCTGGCCCATGCCCAAAATTTCCAAGCCAAGGGTAGCTGTCGAGCTGCAAGCACATGCATGCATGGATGCATCTGTACAGCCGTGCTTTTTGGGGTCAGCGTTCCCCTGCCGCGATGAGTGTGGATGAATACACAAGAGGTTTTGGAGAGTATGGCCTGGATTGCAGCACCCAGACCTTGCTATCGCAGGAAACATCATGTCATCCCTTCTATCAGTTCTTCAGGAACACAGTTTGGCACTGCGCCGGCTTTGCTCTTCCCATTATAATCTTTTTTCCCCGTAATATCACTTTTCTGCTCGTTATAGATGTGCTATCTCAGTACCTACCGACACCACAGCTTGTTCACCTTTTCTAATTATTTTTATGGAGCAACTTCATCAAAACACCTCACGTTAGCAAGATTTCCTTTTTCCCCCCTCAATTATATATGGTCCTATAGTTTTACATACAAGGAGAAAATTTATTTGGCATTGCTCCTGGAGGAGGTGGGGGAACAGGCTTTTGTGGTTACAACAAAACCTCTTCCCCAGTCACTTTGAGGATATATTATTCGAGGTGCTTCACCCCTCCCGGCTCAGCAAATGCCACTTAAAATAACAATGTACTCAGTCTGAAATATTAACCAAGGAAAAATTAACCTTATGTTAAGCAATGTGCTGTTAGGAGCTTGGGTAATGTTTTATCCTGTAGTTACTTATTTTAAAAACACAAGAGCATAGCCAAAAGAGCTGGCAAGACACTACCTTGGTGCTTTCCTCCATGTCCTTTGAGTTGAGGAGTGCATGGTTAATTCTGAACACTATCCAGTCGAACAAGGCGCTATACAACGATTTAGCCATGGAGTTTCGTACGGTCACAGCCTGAAAGAGAAAAGAGAAAAGGTGATTGGAAACAATTCCTGCTCTGCGCTAAAACGTGTTTTGCTTCTCAAGCTTCCACGTCCAACGTTCATATTTCTCCCTTGCCAAAGCTTTTGTCTACTATTTTAATTTATGCCGTGTACGCCATCGGTCCTGACGCCATCGGGAGTTGGTTGCAATCCCAGGGCCATGAGATGTGCCCCCTGACTTTGGCTTGGTTTCCTTTTGTGCATTCAAGCAGATGATGCACGAGATCACACCACAAATCCCATCACTGGCATTGAAAGGAAAAGAAATGAAAATACATATATTAAAAAACCTACAAAAAAAAATTAACTTCATCAAGATCCTTGAAGAGTTTATTCAGAGAGAAAGAAAGAGGAGGGTGGACGTTGCATAGCAATGATAGCAAGTGATGTGAAAGCACACGCTGGGGCAGGCAGCGTCTGGTACCAGCAGAAGGGTTACAAAAGCAGAGGCTAAAACCCCTATAGTAAATCTGTAAGCGTTACTGAAAACTTGATGTTTTCCAGGTACTGCCAACTGGAGCTACAAATCATAGCAGGCAGATTCACTGCTCCTCTAACAGCTCTCCTAGAAAGAGGAATAATACCTCTGAAGCAGGGCCATCCCCACCGCAGTGTTCTCAGCCACGATGCAAAGAGATTGTTTGACCAACAGTGATGAAACCCAAAATCAAAGGAGGGTACCTGGGCTGCACTTTCTCAAACATGCATGCTTTGGGACAGGCACGTACATACATAACCATAAAGCAGTAATTCATATTTAAGGGCTATCTTGGTTCTTGCTGCTTGTGATTCTTCCCTGGTTTAAATTATTACGTTGAGTTGGGTTGCAATGCTTTAGTACATACTAATCACCTAAAATCTCATGATAACAGCTGTGACTGTTAAATGTCGGTTCATTTTAGCCACTGTAGAAGAATAAACAAGGAAACAGAAGGTTCACGCCTAAGTATTTTAGTAAAACCTTGAACTACAACAAATTGGTGGCCTGTCACACATTGCCTTGAAATCCTTCTCACCAACCCTCCCTTCAAGGTACATCAACTGAGTGGCCTTATTTCACTGATCCCAAGCAAAAGAATAAAGCTCACGTAGCATCATTTATCTTCTATTAACTTGTTCCCACCTCTTTTTCCTTGAATTTTTTGTGATAGCATCTTTTACTATAATCACATACTGTTCTGCCAACATTTTGCTCTTAACGTGCAATTAATCCCGTACGTAGCCTTGCCAACTCTCCCTCTTGAGTTGGAACAGGAGAAGGCAGTAACACGGTCCATAACTGAGGATGCTTACAAGCTCACAGTCTACATAAGCCTCCGTACGCTGCTAACCATTGCTCGATGGCAATAAATTGCTGTCAGATAAGCCACATTACAAGGATAATTACAAAATATTGCAACAATTAACAAGGAATTACTCACTTGCCCCCAAAAAAGCATTGTTACAAACTGAAAACAAGCGTATGATGAAAATATATGAGCAACAGGACCGAAAGGATTTGTTGTAGCACAGACCAAAACAGAGCTTTTAAAGACAGACCGTGAGCTCTTGAATGTCTGAGTTACAACAAGTGTTGGAAAGCGGCTGGCATTTAGAAATACAAACAGCTCTAGTTTCTAGCAACTGTTTTTTCTTCCCTTTACTGAAGAAAAGGGTTTGGGGAGGAGGGAGTTGCTGGTTTTATTACAAGCAACGTGGGTTGTTTGGGGTTTTTTTTGCTGTTTTTATTTTTTACATTTCCCCAAATATCAGGGAATATTTCAGTGATTAATAGAAAATTTCAAGACTAATTCTCTAACACCATGCTCCATCTCAGCTTATTTGATTGGATAAAGCTGGAGAACAATCAGTGCCACTATCACATGAGAAAAATCAAGTCTCCGGGGAAAGACGAAGGCCCAGACCCGGGGATGTTTCTTGCTGCCGTAATGCTTTGTCCTAGCATAAATCAGCCCAATTAACGCCTCCAACACAAAGGTGTGCAATCAAAAAAACCCCATTTCTATTTAAAGCCAACAAATAACAGCACCGTTTCTTCTATACAGTCATATATGGGTTTATATTGCAGTACTTTTCTTTCCCCCTTTTATTAGAGACTCTAGTGGATGTGCAGGACTTCACTGCTGAATTTTCCTCTTTTTTTCTAAAATAGATGAGGATATCATTAAGCCTGCACCACCCCAGCATTGCCCAGTTTCCTCCAGGGATGTGCAGGGTGGGCTATAAGCCATTGCCCTTCTTCCCAAGAGGAGCTTGGCTACATAGCAAGCTGGGAAGCCAACAGAGAGCTGCTTTCCTTGCTACGCTTGGGACCCAAAACCGTAATCAACAGCCCAGATCTCAAATTCTTCAATAGTTATTTTTAGAAGCGACAGCCATATCATAAGGGCTGGTAGGAAACTCCTGGCAAAGCAACATATAGAGAATATAGAGGGGGTGCAGCACACATACACATGGATCTCATTTGCAAATTTGCTGTCTCCTTATAAGCCAATTTCTTCTCTCTGTTGTACCGACAAATCCAGATAATTCCTCGACAGATGCACCGCTGTAGTGGACTTGAGGTGGTGTAAACAGCACTTCTCCCCACATGATGAAATGCAGTTGGGCCAAAACTGGGATGCTCACTTTGCCTCATGGTATATGCAGTCTCCTCCGGGCAGGATTTCCACAGTGCACACAGCAAAGAAATCTGGTTTCAGACACCCAAGTTTCCTCCAGTGCTGCTAAGTACTATGAGGTCCCACCAAAATGGGCTCTCCAAGCTCAACTCCCCGCGCTGTGATGGACCTGCTTCATGGGGAGTGACCTCCACCAGTGCTGGGAATGAAGTCCACGGTACCCAACGTCCGTGGTACCCAAACCAGCAGCAGTTTTCTAAAATGAGATATTTTTAATTGGCTTGAAGAGTTAAGACAGTACTTTGCCTTCATGCAACATCCATTTATAAAATACCAGCAAAAACATTGATCTATTTTATATGACTCAAGTTTTTGTTTGGTTTTTTTCTCCCATTTCAATGAAGTATTTATTCTTTAGAATAGATCCTGGATGATGTTACATTATAGATAAAGCCCCTCGCTATCCTAAATAGATATCAAACTACCTAGCCTGAGGACCCTCTGGGAATATTATTTCTTTTCAAATTAAGGAGCTGCTGCAATTTCAAGTGTATGATTTCATATTTCCCCCCAAATTGTTGGAATAGTCCACTTTGAAAAGAGTTTTTCCACTTTTATTTTTAATTTCAGCCATTCATCTTGTATTGCCATAAGCCACCATACAGATGGTTTAAAACACTACTAGACCCTAAAATCCTTAAAATAAAAAAATAAATAAAAGAAAACGTGTACAGCAGTTTGTCTCTTTCAATAAGTCTTGCTCTTATTTTCTCTGTTCAACAGGGTAAAGCTGTGGAGGAATGGCAGGGTAAAGGATGCTCAGCCTGTCCAACTGTCCCTGCTGTTCACATCACAACCTGGTGTGCAATATTCAGGATATTCTTGTTGTAATTACAGGCTTGTTATTCAAGAAAGGACCGCACTACGCGCTTACATCCGCTCCCATGCAGCAGAGCATTTAAAATAAGTGCTTAAACATTTGTTCCTGTATTTATTGGGGTATTTATTTATTCCTGTATTTATTATCGTACATGTATTAAATGTGAATATTCTCTGAAATATATAGCATATATTACATATGGCTTGCCTTCAGGTAGTCACCTACAGCTTCTTGTCTCTTCTGCAAGTCTCATTATGTGACATTTAGGCAGATCTGGAATACTGTGGCACTCATCAAACCATTTTTATTTCGCTCACAAAGCAAAATAAAAATAGCTCCCACGACGCCAAAACAAATCTCTTGGGGATCAAAGCGAGCGCAACATCTTGCACACACACAAAAATATTGCTGATTCGAAAGCAAGATAGATCAAACACACTTTAACTCGGTGATTCAGGAAATAAGCTGAAGACAAGGTTTTAATCAATAGGTTTCCTGCTCACCAGGCTAGCAAGTATATATATTTTATTTATTATATGCTAGAAATGCCACTTGTTGAGGTTGGCCTACTTTTACTAAGATCTTGATATAAGATATTTGGGTTTCTTCATAAGATTGCATTGCCAAATTAGTTGACCCAAAAGTTTTCATGATAGGCATTGGATTCAGGCCACCTTAAAAATAGATATACTTTTGGAAACATCTTCTGCCAAAAGGAACAAGGGGAAGACAGACTTAAGAATTAAAATCTCTCTTTGAAGTGTTTTGGAGCAAGGACTTACAGTTTCAGCAGCGACAGCCTGTGTTTTAGAGGCGGCAAAAGATATAATCTGAGAAAACCAAATTTGCTCAAATTAAAAGGCTCTGTAAAACACATTTGTAAGCATTCAGTAGATTCTTAATTCTTAAGATTACAAACTCTCTAAACACATACAAGCACATCTTCCGTCTGCTGCCGTCCCTACAACATCACCACCGCTCCCCACCCCTGGGTCAGGATTTCTTACTCCTCCTGTTCTGCACTCAGCTGAGATTTGAAACTCTGAGTAAAGGTCTTTTTCTGCTGGCATTATTCAAAACAGTTGCTGGTACACAGATAATCCAGGGAAAGCAAAAGGGTTAGAACCCCCCACCAAACTTAAAAAAGGAAAAAGCTGGGAATAAAGTTTAAAAAAAAAAAAAAAAAAAAAAAGGAAGGAGGCATTAACACTAAATAGTATATCTGCTTTAAACAAAAACATACAAAATTTAAATTTTCTTCCCTTCCTCTAAAATAGTTCTGCTGGTTGCAATCAAATTCTAAAAATCAGTATTTTTTAATTATTATTATCTATGAAACTTGAATTTTATAGGCTGCTTTGCTATAACAATGCCGCCTTTGCATTAGAAAGCCCCATACTATCTTTTCCCACAGAACCAATGACTCACGAAGAGCAAAAACCAGAAAAAAGCTGTATGTGATGATGTAGA